GTGTCCTGGAAAAGCTCTGCAGCTTCAGAACAGTGACCCGTGGCATGGTGGCACCCACCTCACTGGGCAGCTGTGAGGATTCAACAGTCCACAACAGCCTCTCAACAAATGGTGATTCCCTCCTGTCTGTTCTTAAGTGGCGGTGGGGTGGGGTGGGTAAACCCATCCCCACCAGTATCTGCATCAGATGGAGCTATTTTGCAGGTCACAAGACTGTGTTTCTGTCCTCCAGTGAGCCCACAGACAGTAATTCCTGCAAAACCACGGGCCTGCACAGCGCAGCCCGGCGGGTATTTGGCTGAAAAGGCAGGATGCAAAGAACTGGCTGCTTCAGAGAGGCTGAGACAGCGAGAGAGGCAAGCCAATTGAGCGACCAGAATATAATCTACAACTGAAGATGTTCGGATTGTCAAACGACTTTCATTGACTCCCGAGCGGGTCCTGGGACCTGCAAACACTGGAATAGGTTGCGGGGGAGCAGTTGGATGACCCCAGGGGCCTAGAGCTAATCCCTCATTCCTGAGTCTCCTGGGAGGAGATCGCTCAGTGGTTCCCTGGGACTGACCTGGAACAGGCTCTTCCTTGCTTGCCCCTGGAACTGGTTTGCTGGTGCTGGAAGGTTGAGGCCCTCAGGCATTGCATTGCAAGTTGAACCATTGTCTGTCGCCACCTGCTGGCTGATGATCTGAGGTGCCCAACGCTGGAAACAAGGGTTTAACTAAAGAGCCTGGGGTCTGTCTACTTGGGAGGAAAAACATCAAAAAGGTAGACACAGATTGAGTGTTTTCTACAAGGAAGTCGTCTTGGGAGGGTCTACGATGATTCCATTGATAAGTCACACAAACAAGAGGCGAATGAGAACGATACATCTCACTCATGCATTCTGTAATTCATCGATGGCCAACACTTCTGGAGCCGGGCCAGTGGGCACAAACCCAATGATCATTGTGATGCTAATGTGTAGGACTTGGCAGGGCAATGTGCTGCTGTGCACGGGGTTGATGTGAGTCAGCATTGACTCGCTGGCACGTAACAACTAAACCCAGTGGTAATGGACTCTCGTCCATTACTTTCAAGGGCCTCCTTCAACCAAAGTCAACCTTAACGATGTGGCAGGGCACAGTTTCTCAGGTTGTCATTTACTGAGGAGGCGTGATTCAAAATGAGACGCAATAGCTGCTAATACAGATCAGGAATCTGAATGTGGAATGTTCTGCGTGTGAATCTTGGGAAGCCGGGGGTTGTCCAAAATGGAATGGGACACTTAAAGATCTCTATCCAGGCTAGAGCGCTGAAGTGGACCGGTGGTTGGCCGTTCAGAATCACATAAGCACATGGCTTACCATGCCAGGAATGACAAATTCAAGAGAAATGGTGTTGGATTCAGCATCAGAAAGAACATTTCAAGATCTATCTTAAAGCTGCTAAGAGAGTTTATGTACACCTACAAGAAAGGCCAATGAATACAAATGTTGTTCACGGTTATGCCCCAACAACTAGATCCAGTGATGACAAAACTGAAGGATTCTACCAACTTCTTCCATCTGAAATTGATCAAACATGCAATCAAGATGCATTGGTAAGTACTGGTCTGTGTTAGTCTGGGTGGACTAGAGAAACAAATCCATCGACACACACATGTGTATAAGGAAGAGATTGCTATATACAAGAGGAATTGAATATTGAGAAAGCATCCCAACCCAGTCCAATCCAAGTCCATAAGTCCGATACTAGCCCATATTTCCGATACCAGTCTATAAAGTCCTCTTCAGACTCACGAAACACATGCAATGATGTCCAATGAAGGATGATCACAGGCCAGTGTGTAGAAAGTCTTTGGATCCAGTGGTGTTGTAAACATCTCAGCGCTGGCAGGGGTCTCTCTGTGGCTTCTCTGGCTTCAGAGGTCTGGTTGCATCAGGATAGGTCCATGTGGCTTCTCCAACTTAGGGCACTAGTGTAGTTCCATGTGTCTTGTCAGCTGCAATGTCTCCCAGGGAGTGGCAGATAGAGAGAGGTGCCTCCTGCCTCCAAGAAGGAAGTACCAGATTTCCCAGAATTCTCAGGAGAAATCCATGCCCACAGCGAGGCCTCATTGGCTATGATTTCATTGACAAGCTAGACTCCATCCCTACACTCTTAATTCTCAAATTGACAAAAGATTATATATCTACCACATGGTCATTGGAATGCAAAATTTGGAAACAAAGAGGAAAGATCAGTAGTAGTTGGGAAATATGGCCTTCATGGTAGAAATGAAGGCAGAGAGCACATGATAGGATTTTGCAAGACCAATGATGGCAACTCAACCATGTATTCATTCACCAGATAGAATACAAGTTTAACACATATGTGGGATGAGATGATGGTGAAGCTCTATATCATTAGACAAAACAAGGCCAGAGGCCAACTGTGGAATAGATTACAGATTACTCATATATAAATTCAGGCTGACGCTGATAAAAGTTAAAACAAGGCGTGAGAACCAAAATCTGGTCTTGAGCACGCTCCATCTTCGCTTAGCAACCTTTCCAGGACACTCCTGATGGATTGGACACTAGTGGTCAAAGACCAGGCAAGCGTCCGATGACATCAAGAACTTCATACATGAAGGAAGTGAGAGGTCAGTAATAAGAAAGAAAAGACCAAAGTGGATGTCAGAAGAGACATTTAAACTTGATTTTGAATATAGAGCAGTAAAAAAAGTGGGAAAAAATGATGAAGCCAAAGAGCGGAACAGAAATCTTCAAAGGGCACAGCCCAAGAAGATAGAGTAAAGCGTGATAATGAAAAGTGCACAGACTTGGAGTTAGAAAACCAGATGGAAGAACATGCAGAGGTCAAGTTGAAACAACTGAGGAAAAACACTCAAGCCTCTAGTTGCAATATTGAAGGACTCTGTAAGCAAAATATTGAATGATGCAGGTTGTATCAAAAGAAGATAGAAGGAATGCGCAGGACCAGAACAGCACTGATCGACATTCAAGCATTCAAGAGGTAACATGTGATCAAGAACCACTGGTAATGAAGGAAGAAGTCCAAGTTACACGGAAGGAATTAGACACAAACAAGACTGACTAGTAAGAAATAAAGAATTGGCAAAATACCAGTTGAAATGTTTTGACAACCTGATACAGCTCTGCCCATAGCTGTGGGATTTTTCAATCATTTTACATGCATGTGAAAGCTGTACAATGAAGAAGGAAGACCACAGAACCATTGCCTTTTAGTTATGGTGTTGGTGAAGAATATTGAAAGTACCGTGGACTTTCAGAGGAACAAACATCTGTTTTAGAGGATGCTGGAATGCTCCTTAGACGTGAAGATGGAAAGAGACTATCTCATGTACTTTGGGCACATTCTCAAGAGAGACCATTTCTAGGAAAAGGATAGCATGCTTGGTACAATAGAGAATCAACGAAAAAGAGGAAGACACTAGATGGGGTGGACAGACACCGTGGCTGTAACAATGGGTTCCACCACAGGAACAATTGTGTGGATGGCACAGGACCAGGCAGTGCTCCATTCTCCTGTAATTACAGTCACGATGAGTTGGAGCCAACTTAATGATACCTGTGGTGTTTCATAATCTGTTGCCAACTCGAGACTATTCAGAGTGAAGGGGTGGAGTTTAGCCTGTCAATCAGGTCACAGCTTGATGACTACATTTGGAGGTGCTGAGGAGATAAATAGCTTGCTGGAGGCAGGACAGAGACACACTCCCTGTGAGACATTTCTGTTGACAAGCCAGATGTAGCTACACTGATGCAGCCAGAGCCTTGGAGCTGGAAGAGCCACATGGAAACCCACGCCAGTGCTGAGATGCTTCCACTGCCAACACATCCACAAGACTTCCCACCTACTGGCCTGTGATCTTCCTGTGATCACATTGCATGTGTTTCGTGAGTCTGAAGAAGAACTTATAGATTGGTATCAGACATATGGGTTAATACTGGACTTATGGACTTGATCTGGACTGGGCTGGGATGTGTTCTCAATATTCAATTGCTCTTCTATATAAAGCTCTTTCTTATACACGGATGAGTGTTTCTGGATTTGTTTCTCTAGTCCACAAAGACTAACACAACACCTAACAACAACAATGACCCCTCTTGCAATAGGTCTGGCCTGAGGTTAGAACAGCCATTCCAGTGGCCAGTCTAAGCATGGAAGTTATTTTGGTTAAAAACTAAATCCAATCAAACACAGAACCCTCCAGCAGCTGATCCAACACCAACCACAAACTTCTCAAGTTCATTTAAAACTCGCTACCACTGAGTCGATGATGACTCATGGTGACTCTATAGAACAGGATGGAACTGTCTCTGTGAGTTTCCAAGACTGCAACTCTTTACGGGAGTAGAAAGCCTGTCTTTCTCCTGCGGAAGAGGCTGGTGCTTTTGAACTTCTGACCTTGCCGTGAGTGACAAGAGCCCCAGACATGCTCAGACTAAGCCTGCACCTGAGGAAATGAGTTTTCTTGTTTGTAGATGTGGAGTTGCACAATTTTGGGTGGCCAGTGTCTTACACAAACAGCCAACTCTCTGATCAGCCCAGTGGCCCTAATCAAATCAACCTAAATAGATGAGATTCTAGCTTACATTAAAGGGAGGGGGCTGTTCTCTATTCAAACGCATGCTTTCCTACGACAAGTTTGTTTTTAATGAATATATCACTCATGGTGCACCTGAAATAAAGGTACCGCGCTCAATTTTTCTAGGGTAGAGCAATTCTGTAAAAGGAGGCACTAAGGGGTCACTAAGAGTCGGCATCAACTGGATGGGCGTTTGCATTTTCTGAGTTTCTAGACAGTGTAAGGTCTCAGTGACTCCTTGGGACTTAAGGCTAGGGAGGCCCAGCTGTCACTGCTGAAAACAGGTGGTGTAAAACAATAGCCCCACTGAGCGACCTCACTTTCCAAGCTCCCTGGCAGCCAAGTGTCCAGGCAGATCATGTCAATCAGCCGCTGTGTTAACAGTGCTCACCAGTGCCCAAGCAGCATGGCACCCCGACCGCTGCTCCTGCTCCTTGGTCTCTGCTCAGGTGAGTGCTGGGGCGTGGGGTGGGCAGTCCTTTCTTCTGGGGCTGAAGCACTGTGGTGCTTCAACGCAAAGCCTGGCTGTTCTGATGGGACACGGCGTGACAGGGCTTCACTAGCCAGGGGCTGCTCTGTCAGTGTTTTGCCAATGCTGGTTTGATTGGGGTTGAGGCTAGAGATTTTCAGCTTGCCTTATGCAATCAAGTCAGGGCTGCTTGACTGAAGGCTACTTAGTAGACTTTCGGCTTTCTCCCTCCGTCCAGCTGGCCTCTGACTCACTCACCCCAAGGACCAGACTCGGTGCTGCTTGTACAGGCCTGGGGCTGCCTTCCGATCTGAATGGTAGGATCACGGAGGGGCGACTTTCTAATCTCAAACGATGTATTGAACAAGCCCTTTTACTGCTTCTGGCAGAATTCTGATAATGAAGACCATTGATTGACAGCTACATGTGCCGGTTAGCAGGACCTATTAATAATTGCAATCAGGTTCTCTCTGTAGAGATGAAATATTTGTCATTCTTAAGACGTCTGCCATTAGAAGGATAAAAAAGAGAGAAAGAAAATAATCCAGACAAATGTACTTTGGCTAGGTTTTCAAAGAGGGGACCTTATTTCAAGTAGGTTTGCGTGAGGAAGAAAATGATAAAACCGTGTGTGTTCTACTTTGGAACGAGTCAAGGCTCAGTTGCTGAACCCTTCTCCTGCATCGCATACTTCCGTTGCGGGAAACCGGAGATGTGCGCTGATGGCATAATGTAACCGTTTACTGCTGCTGGCATCCCAGCAGGGAAAGGAGGCGGCGGCGGGTGTTCTGTGATTTCCCTACCCTCATAATTGCTTTGACACACACAGGGCTTTGGGTCAAAATAGGCAAAGGGCTTTATTATTATTATTTTTAAGAGCAGAGTTGAAGGCAAATAACCTAAACTCCGATACATGATATCCGGCGGGATTGGGCCTGGTCCAACCGAAGCCGGCCAGGGAGAAGTTTTGTGTGTGGCTGTGTATGTGTGTGCACGCGCGCGTGCAAACACCATGCTGACACGTGATGAAAAGTCTGATGCTTCCATATAAAAACCGTTCGGAGATCGCTGCAAACACCGTGGCCCTCCAAAAAGGCGTGCTTGCCTGTCAAAGGCTTTGAAGTAGGAGGTACGCGTTTCGACCACACCTAGAGTTGGCTGGTGTCGATTCATACAAGGGGCCCCTAGAAATGAAAGGTGGATCGACAGTCTTACATTCTCAGTGTTTCCTGACCAGGAAAGTGAAGCTGAAAGACAGGAACTGATCTGCCGACAGCGGCTTCATTTACTCTGAATTTGTGGTGATGATCATTGGGGGCCTCAATTTGTCAAACACATACTCCAGCCAAGGGGTGGGGGGGGGACCACCCAATGCCGTGAGTCAATTCAGACTCACAGTGACGCTATAGCTAAGGTGACCAGACTTCCCGCTTTTGGCAGGACAGTCCAGACTTTTAATAATTTGTCCCATGTCCTGTGGCATTTTTTAAAAAGTCCCGATTTTTGGAAAGAATGCACGACAAGCTAGGGTATACGGTTTTCGGCTGCCATGTGGCTCTTTCGCCAGGATATGAGTTTTATCAATGGTGTCCCGCTTTTGTCCCGCTTTACCAGTGTTAACATCTGGTCACCGTAGCGCTAGGACCGAGGGGAACCGCTCCACAGGATTTCCAGGCTGTCAGTCCTCACCGAAGCAGACCACCACAGCCGTCTTCCACAGAGGGCTGGAGGCTGGAACTGGCGGCCTTGCTCTTAGCAGTCTGCTGAGCTCAGCCCACTTTGCCACCAAGCTCCATGCCGTCAGGCTGCACTGTCTGAAAGAACTATCCAAAGTGAGTGTGCCCCATCCAGAGGCCTTCCCTGCACAGCATACCAGTGAAACACTGTGGTGCGTGAATACGTTGACAACTTGGCTGACTTGCCCTCCAAGAATCAATCCATGTGGGCAACATTCTCATTCCTATCAGGACACCCCTTCCGGGGCCAGCTTAGAGCATTATGATCACCATTCTATTCCTGTCCCGCCTTTTATTACAAACATTTCCTCTTCCGCCTCTGGCGTCCCAAGCGCTCCCTGGCCATCTCTGCTGGCGCCCGACTTTCTCACTGGTTCACAGCTGGTTCTGTTAATGACGAAAGGCAGTCTGTGAGGGTGGGCTGACAGGGGTCCTGTCAGATTCCCTTCTGAGTCTCCCAAAGCGCATCAAGCAATTATTTGCAAATAGTAAATGCTCAATAAATATTTGATGAATGGATTAATATGAGCACATCTGAGTTAAAGAAGATTACCGATATAATTTTGCCAAAAAGCGGGAGACGGGCATGACTTATTTGTTGGTCTTTATGTTAGTCGATGGACTCTACTTTTTTAAAGGAATCGTTTACTGAGAGGCATCGAATCTAGAACTCTCCAGATTTTTCCCTCCAGTTGGGAAGAAAATCCTGCATCCTGAGTTCTAGTTCTGTGCATTTTCTGTCCTTCTACCCTGCTTTGAAAGGTGATCTGCTGGTGCTGGGGGCTGGGCATTGAGCTGCTAACTTCAAGGTTGGAGGTTCAAACCTACCAGCTGCTCATCGGAGAAAGATGAGGCTGTCTGTACCCATGAAGATTTCCAAAGCTGTGGAAACCCTCCATCGGGCTGCTGAGTCAGGATGGGCTCCATAGGAGTACGTTGGTTTTTGATTGGCACCTTGCTGTCGAAGGAACCCTGGTAGCACGGTGTTTAGGCTGCTCAGTCTTTCAGCGAAGGGTCAATGGTTTGAACCCACCAACTGCTCTGTGGGAGAAACATGTGGCAGCCTGCTTTCATAAGATGGAAAGCTATGAAAGCCCTTTGGGGCAGTTCTCCTCCATCCTGCACGATGAGTTGGAATGAACGCAATGACAACAGGGTTGTTTGGGTATGCCCTGCTCTGGAGAGAAAAGTAAGAAAAGAATACCAGCGGTGCCAACGGTGCCCCGACCGGATGGAGGTCTCCTTGGAAATCCCTCAGAGCCCCATTGTGGAAGGGCAAAGTGCCTTGCTGGCTGGACAGAGTGGGCAAAGGGGGGGAGTGATGCTTGGAATGCTGACCATGCCTGCCCCGGCCCCCTTCTCCTTGGAGGACCATGGGTGGCGCCCCATCTTTGTCCTGTGACATAATACCAATCATCTGTTCTATTGACTGCTTTCTAGTATGTTCTTCCAGTCAATCTGGACTAAACAAATCATTCAAAATAAGCAGCCCAGGACAGTGCCAAAGCTACGGCTTCAAAACTCTTAGTTTGCCAGGCCCTGAAGGTCTGGGGCCCTCAGTGATGCTGTGTCACACGGAAGGCCGGCGGTTTGCCATCTCCCAGGGACTTGATGGGGCTGCTGAAGAGAGCAGGTCTTCAGAAAGCTCTGTTTGAAGGACCCTTGGATTCAAGTGGCTTGGGGTAGATGCCATGAGAAAGTTTTGTAAATTCCCATGTGGCTTCACACCTTGGGCCCCCGTGGAAATTTTGTGACTCAGAAAAATTGGGAAAATAGAGATAAAGAGCTAGGTTCAGCTAGGATTTCTCTGCATGGAATCCACAAAGGTAGCCATGAAGATACCCAAGTTACCTAGAAAGGAAAAAAAAAAAAAACCTAATGGACACAATTTGTCTACTTTTAGGGAGGAGGTGAGGAGCACAGGTCCTGGTGTCAGGTGGGCTTTGGTCTATAATCCCACCCTGAACTCACTGCTCAGTGCCCTGAGCCTCAGCGTTCACATCTGTAGAGTAGAACTCCATTCCAGAAAAACGGCTGGTGTTTTGGAAGTCCAGTGGCAGGTCTTCCTTCTCAAGGGGGCCTCAAGCTAGACTTGAACCTCCAACCATCTGGTTAACAGCCAAGCACACTAACCGTTTACACCACCCAGTGACTGGAGAGGGGCCCAGAAGCCCCTGGTGGTACACTCGGGTAAGTGCTTGGTGACTAGTTGTGAGAGTCAGCTCACAAATCGACCAGGGACAAGAAGGGAGAAAACAGACAGTGTAAGAAAAGAAATAATAATAAAAATATATAATCGATCAAGGTTTCACGAGGGTGGGAGGGGAAAAAAGAGGCGCTTATACCAAGGGCTCTAGTAGAAAATGTTTTGGAAATGATGACGGCAACATATGTGCAAATATGCTTGATATAAATTGATGTAGGGGATGTTGTAAGAGCCCCCCAACAAAATGATTAAAAAAAAAAAAAGAGGGCACCATCGCAATTGAGAAAATAGAGTAGAGATAGAAGACAAGAGACAACGCTGGGGCTCAGACGGCTTAAGGAGGAGAGACTTTAAGGGTCAGATCTTTGTTCAAGGCCGGTTTTTATACAGTCCTTGTCATGAACCCTCCTCCTGTGACAAGTTCTCGCACAAAGGGTTTGTTAATAATTAGCTGAAGCAAGGAAGCAATAAGGTTCTAGTCAATCCAGCTATGGTCCGAAGGGGAAGGTAAAGCCAGGAATAGGGCGTATAACCGATCTTTTGCAGAATACTGTTTCAGTGGGTTCCCAGGGAACAGGAGAGAAAGCGTCCACTTTGTCTTAGAGGGAGGCCAGACCATCCGGGTCCTCAGCACCTAGGTTGAACCGTCAGCCAACACCTTCCCATAGGCCTTGCCAAAACCACCGAAGCGGATGGGCCTGTCCCACTTGCCCAAGGAATAAACGGCTTCACTCCCAACAACGAGTCAAAAGGTCAGCAGTTTGAATCCTCCCAGAAGCACTTAGGAAACAGGGCTTGTGGTTTGCTTCTGGAAGTCCAGTGTTGAAACTCCTCCACAGCAGCTCAGCTCTGCCCACATGGTGTCTCCGTGAGTCGGAAGAGACCCACAGAAATCCACGCCAACCCCCAAACCAAAGTCAAACTCACCGTCACCGAGTCCGTTCTAAGTCTCGGCGGCCCGATAAGACAGGGTGGAACTAACTGCCCCTGTGGGTTTCCAGGACTGTAATGCTGCCCGGGAGTCGAAAGCCAGGCCCTTGAATTGAGAGCTCTGGGTGAATTGGACACACGTTTTGGGAGGAATGAGAATGTATTGCTTGGTCGCTTTGAGTTGGTTCTTTTAAGCTGGTCTAAAGCTTGGCGTGAGGAGAAGCCTGGGCTTTGGGCTTGAATCCTGGATCCAACACACATGAAACCCGGACAGGGCACTTAATCACTCTGTGCCCCAACTTTCTCATCTGTAAAGGGGGGGCAATCATAGGATCATTGTCACCCTGGCGTGAGGATCAAGAAACTAGACGGTTACGCAGCACTAAGCAGGGGATCTGGCACACAGCAAGCTGGATGGGATAGCTGTTGTCTTGAAATGAATAAAAATAGGAGAGGCAATTAATTTTCACTTATTTTTAACAAACTCTTTCAAACCTTGGATCCAAGAAGGAAAATAATAAAAGAAACAGAGTAGCCTGCATTGGCGGGGATGGGTTAACACGAAAGAGGGAAGGCGTCTCACTCATCCCATTTTTGAATCTTTCTTGGCCCTGGTTCAGATTCCATGAATCAGGACAGAGGGATCATGTGTCTGCTTCCTTTCCCGGCCCTGAACAGGCAATCCCCCATCCACGGAAGTCTCGAGTTACAAAGATCTTTCTAAGACATGTCTGGGGATTGGGGGCACATTTTCTCCTGTGCCTGTAGCAGCGAGATTACCGGTGCCGCCCACAACACAGGCACACCAGGGAGAGCGAGCTCAGGGCCCCACCATGGAATGACAGCTTCGCCCTTACGAAGCTGCATGACCTTTGGGCAAGTCACGCAACCTTTCCAACTCTCAGGAAAGAAGAACTGCCTGCCTGCCTCACCCCAGGCTAACCCCAAACAAACACCACCAACCAGTGCCATCACAGGGCTCCAGCTTACGGTGACCCATTGCATCACTGGGTTTGCTGTCCTCTTAAGGTGTCCCCCGGCCTCCTGCAGACCTCCTGCACCAGCCACGTAGAAGGAACCCTTAGTCACACTCAGGAGCCATTTTTGTCATGGACGAATATGGGATCCATACACTTACAAGTGGTTTAAATGTAATGTTTCTTCAAACAGCCAAATTGTTCTGTAAGCTCATTCTACATCGAAGTGTGAATAATTATTAGTGATGTTGTAAACTGACACGGTTGCTTTGTCTTTTAACATTTTCCCTCCTTCTCCTTTCTTTAATTATTGATCCATTTTGTAAAAAAGGTTCACAAATACATATCACCACAACCTCATACTTAAAACACCAGCGCATGGGGTGGGGGTGAGGAGATTATAAAAACACTAGCAGCAGTAAAAACTACAGTATGTGCTTATAATTCATAGGGCATCTATGATTTGGAATCAACTTAATGGCCAGGAGTGAGTGAGTGAGTGAGTGAGTGAGTGAGTGAGTGAGTGAGTGTGTGTGTGCTTATAGCAAGTGCAGGAGCCCTGGTGTCCCAGAGGTTAGGAGTTGGGCTGTTAATTACAAGGTCAGCAGTTCAAAACCACGGGCCTCTCCAATGGGGCTTTCTACTTCCATAAAGAGTTACAGGCTCAGAAACCTACCTGGGCAGTTCTATCCTGTCCTGTAGGGTCACTTTGAGTCAGCAGCCGCTTGAGGGCAGTGGGGGTTTTTTTGAGTTATAGTAGGCACAGACAAGATCACGTGATTCGAAACAGCTTTGTAATTGGACAATAACGACAGCTCCTCTGGAGCACATTGGAAGGTTCAGAAAGTACATTTCCATAGGGTCTCAGCCTTGCAGCCTGGGCTAATGTGAAATGTGTTTGTTATTATACCTAATGACAGGGATATTTTTATAAAGAATAACGAATTTCTGTGGAAACGCTCACAACCCTTTGATAGAGCGTGACTGTGGTGCCGCTGACTGTGCCGGAGTCACCGGTGCAGCCTGTCCCCCGGCCCCCAGCAGGGACACCCCTCTAGTGCCACCACTATGTGATGCGGCGGCAGTGTCAGAGCGGAACTGTGCCCAAGGGTCCCCTTCATTTCATTTCTGTTGTTGGGGATATACCTCTGCCAATTCAACAGTTTCCGCATGTGCAATGCCGCAAGGGAGACTACACTCTCACCCTCCTTTTCCGAGGGCCTCACCTGCTAGCATGAATTCACTGGGCCCTGAGCTTCCCGTCTAACCTTCAAGCTTCTGTTGTCATTTTGATCCCCTCTAGAGGGCTCTCTAAAAAGCATCCCGCTTGCTTATTAAGGGTTCACAGTGGTGGTGGAGTGGGGGAGGGAGGGAATAAAGAGGAGCTGATATCAAGGGGCTCAAGTAGAAAGAAAATGTTTTGGAAATGATGAGGGCAGCATCTGTGTAAGTTTTCTTGATATCATTGATTTATGGATTGTTCGAATATCTGAATATCATTGATTTATGGATTGTTCGAATATCTGAATATCAATAAAAAAGAACAATTTTCAAAAATTGGGGGGAAAAACAAACCATACTGCTCAAGGTAGGCATTTTCCCCTCATTTAAGCTACACTATTGTTGGGTTTTAAAACAGACCTTTAGAGGATATTTTTGGCTTAAGGTCCAAGGACATCTCACGGCACTAGTTTCATTGGTTCATCCAGTGAACCACTGGCTACAGAAGGTTTGGCGCCCCTACGAATTTGAAGTTCTGTTTTGCATTTCCCCCCTTTTGAAGGGGACTTTTCCCCCTTGAGAATACTTAAACAAGATGTGTAGTGGTGACCGGTGTGCTCCATTCCGTTCTTTGGGTCTCATCTCAAAGGCGGCTCATGGAGGCACTTAGCCGCACATGTCACTTCCTCCTGTCTCCACGAGTGTTCAGTGGCTGGTTTTATGGAAGTAGATCACCAGGCCTTCTTCTGCGGCACCTCCGGTGTACTCGAGCCCCCAGTCTCTCAGTTAGCAGCTGAGCGTGTTGATCATTTGCACCGCCAGGGACTCCCACCTGAGGCTAATGCGGATCAAATAGCAGCGTGGACATGGAAGGGCTGTGGCTACTGAATGTATAAAATGATCTTGCTCTCAATTCTGCAGAACAAAGTTCAAGTTCCAAAGAGGAGCCCCAAGCAAAGTCCATAAAGCAGACAAATTCCACTTCATTTTAACAACTTAGTGGGGACATGTTGTCCCCAGAAATTTCTGGCCGTTTAGGGGTCATGAGATCTGAGATGAGTCCCACCAAGATGCCACGTTGTCACACTGTCACTCGAGAGACTGGCTTTTGTATAGCCCTTCCTGTGTGTACCATGTTCCTAACAAACTCCGTTCAACAAGACGCTGGGGTGAGGGATTTCATTTGTGCAAAGTACAGGTGTTATGAGAACCTGCGCCGCCCCCACTGTTGCCTGGAGAGGGACCCACAGCCAGTCATACTCGGGAGAGAATTGAGGACCATAGGAGTTACAATGCGGAGCCCTTTGACAAGGTGGCCTGTGTGCCTCCCATTGGCTGCCTGGGCCTCCGTTGCTCTGGGGATGAGATGATGGAGCAGAATCTAACCGCCTGTGTGCCCTTTCCTGTTGCAGCCAGCCTCGTCCTGGGCTCAGAGCATGAGACCCGTCTGGTGGCAAAGCTGTTTGAAAATTACAACCGAGTGGTGCGGCCCGTGGAAGACCACCGCCACATCGTGGAGGTCACCGTGGGCCTGCAGCTGATTCAGCTCATCAACGTGGTGAGAGAGGAGAGCTCTGGACCCCTGGTGCCACACCTTCCACCCCAGACACGCGCCCCTTGGCTCCCCTCTCTGCTCACAAATAATGATGTGCGCGCGCTCTCTTTCCCCTCAGGATGAAGTAAATCAGATTGTGACAACCAATGTTCGTCTGAAGCAGGTAATCCCATGAGGGTTGGCATGATCATTTTGATTCACCCTGCACCCAGGGGGCATCAATTTCAGTTACCGGGATGTGCACTGCCATATTGAAAGTGGGTATTTGGGGGTGGTGGGGTTGAAGGTCTTTTGAATGTTGAAGGTCTTTTTATTTCTACTTAGAGTTTTTTTCTATGTAAGACCAATTGGCTGCCTTGAACATATACGAAGAGGGCTTCAAAGCGTTCATGGGAAAATGGAAGCAAAAGAGCATGGGGTTCCCCCACAAACTTTTTGAAGACCCTCATTTAAGGAGCCGTTCCTCAGAAAGACGAGACTCTCGATTCCTGTAAAGAGCTACAGTCTCAGAAACCCACAGGGGCCGTCCACCCTGTCTTAGAGGGTCGCTATGGGTTGGCATTGACCTGATGGCAGTGATTTTGGGTGGGCTTTGGCTGCCAACCCTATGGGGCAGTTCTACTCTGCACACAGGGCACTGCCGTGAGTTGGAATCCGCTCGAAGACAACGAACAGCAAAGCAACCCTACCAAAAAAGACGTGGCCGTTTTTCACATCACGTTGCCTGCTGCGAAGCACCTGCTCAGGCCAGTGCCCTTTCCTGAGGTGGGGGCTAACCTGTGGAGGGCCTTTGCTTCCTCAGCTGTAAAACAGGGGCATGGGGCTTCTTCCTTACAGGCTTGTTGGGAGGATTGAATTTGTTTTCATATGGAAGGCGCCCGAATTGAGCTCGCGCTACCCAAACATTAGCTGTTAATATCTGCCAAAGGGGAAGCTGGATTTGGATTCAAGTATTTCTTTATTATTACTAAATATTTTTATTGGGGGCTCTTACATCTCTTATCACAATCCATACATTCATCCAGTGTGTCAAGCACAGCTGCACATATGCGGCCATCATCATTTTCAAAGCATTCTCTTCCCACTTGAGCCCCCGATATCAGCTCCCCATTTCTTCCCCCTGGATTCCAGCATTTCTTGCAAGAGCAAGCACAATTCTGCCAAATTCCGAATTCCGTGTTCCTCAGAGCCTCGTAGGAGCCCTGTTGGCACAGTGGGTTGTGCACGGAGCTGCTGAACACAAGGCCTGTGGTTCCAAACCACCAGCCACTCTACGGGGGGGAAATGAGGCGTTTCCGTAAAGCCTGTAAATTCCTGTAAAGATTAAAAGTCTCAGAACCACAGGAGAAGTTCTATCTGGTTCTACAGGGTCACTAAGAGTTGCAATCAACTCCATGGCAGTGAGCCAGAGCCTTGATAACTAGCAGTTCAAAACCACCAGCTGCTCCAGGGGACAAATAAGAGGCTGTCTACTCCCATGCAGAGCCCTATAGCATTGCTAAATTGATCGGAATCACCCCGAAGGCAGCGAGCTGTTTGCCTGGTTTTCTCGTGTTGTCTGGTAGCTTTGTAATCGGCTACATGTCTTCGCTTCTAGCAATGGGTGGATTACAACCTCAAATGGAACCCGGATGACTATGGCGGCGTGAAAAAAATCCACATCCCCTCGGAAAAGATCTGGCGCCCGGACCTGGTGCTTTATAACAAGTAAGCGAGGTGCACAAAGCCTGGGGCCCGAGAGGAAGCCGCTCCCATTCATGAACGGAACAGCCAAGCGCCACGCTGACAATGAACAGTGCTATACGGCACCCCTGTTTGGGGTGCAAACAATTCTGGGAGCTAAATTGAATCAGGGAGGTGGGGTGGGGGCATTTCATCTCGAGAGCTCCTGCAGGGCGTGTAGCCACTATCCAAACACCCAGACTTGGTCCGATGGGGTCCTCAGAAGGAAACAACCCTGCTAGCAAACTGGGGGAGCCCCCGGGGTGGTTATTTGTCACATGCATCCAGCTCACAGCCCGGGGCCACCCCGCGAGGCAACACGCTCGGTCCAGGGATCTGCAAGCGCCGTGAGATGATCGCGCATGCAAGTCGCTCCTGCGCAATGACACCTTCATTAGCATACGCCCTTCCTTTGCCAGGGGCTGTTCATTTCACCGAGCATCCTTCCGGGGCAGGCGTGTTCGCCGCGGGCCCGGAGGATTTACAGGCTGACATGCCATGTGCCTGGGTGTCCTCGCAGAGCGCCCGGAGGTGGCAGGGGCCGCGGCAGGCACCGAAGCCGTATCCCCGAAGGCGCATCGGTCCGCAGCGCTGGTTTCTTGCCATCGATCTCCCTATTGTACTTGGGGTTTCATCATGAGGCAATGGCCGGGCCATTGGTCGCCTTTTCAGACCGCGGTGCCGACAGAGCCGAGGGTCCTGTGTGAGGTTTCTTTTTCAGGGGGAACCTGTGTGGAATCGTTAGCATCCTCTGGACCTTTTGACAGGTTCAGCAAAGGGAGGCAACCCTGCCCCACCCGCTCCCAGGAAGCCACTCGGGCAATCCTGAGGCCCACTGTGGAAAGGTTGGCAGCAGGAGCCCACCCAGAGGAGTCTCAGCAGAAAGGCCTGCCCATCCACTTAGAAAACGTCAGCACAGCTCGCCCTGGCCCCCCTGGGGTCACCGCGATGCAGTCAGTCTCCTGGCAACGTGTAAGGCCCTCGAGAAGTCCCGCTGGCATCGTGGTTACACATTGGTTGGCTAACCGCAAAATCAGCAGTTCAAAACCACCAGCCAGCTCCACCGCAGAAAGATGAGGCTCTCTACTTTGGTAAAGTGACAGCCTCAGAAACCCACAAGGGGCAGTTCTACTGTGTCCTGCAGGGTTGCTATGAGTCAGGACTGACTTCATGGCAGTGCTGTTTGGTGTTTTGGTTTATGGGCTCTTTTGGAAGGCCCAAATGCCACATCGTTTTCTGGTTAGAGAGCCCCATTCGGTCCCGAGATGAAATCCGTAGGAAGAAACTCCTTTGCCTTACAGGGTGAGGGACCCATCTTAGGTCCCCCACATCCCACTGAGGCAGACCTCGGCCTGCCCATGGACACCTGCTCCCGCACTCTACTCTCTGTCACCACGGCTGTCTGTCGTCTGCCGCCTTCTGAGGATCCATAGGGACAGTAACTAGACTAGTTCCTTAAGGCTGTGACAAGGACATGTGATCAGGAGGGCAGTCCCTGGGGAAGGACCTCCTGCTTGGTCAAGTAGAGGGGCGGCGGGAAAGAGGAAGGCCCTGGACAAGATGGATTGACACAGCGGCTGTGGCCTCAGACCTAGAAGCAATGGTGACGGAGGCACAGGAAGGACCGCTGGGGCAGTGTCTCCATCTGCTGTTCATCAGGTCTCGATGGCACCCAACAACGGGATTATGGCAGGGGCTGGGGGCCTGGGAAGTAATAATAGTGGTAACTGAATGAAAAATGTTCTCAGATTTATTGTGATGATGACCACACAAGTCTAATCTAGTTAAACCACTGAATTGTATGGTCTGTGAATGATATGCCAATCAAACTGTTTAAGAGAGAGAGAAATTATTACCAAACATTTGAAAAGCCAGAAATATCACCGAGATTTTTTAGCCTCTCTAAAAATCCCAATCTTTAAAAGTCTGGAAATTTTGCACTTAAAAAATCTGGATTTCCAGGATCTCTTGAAGAGTCCAAATATCTGGGCAGTGGGGGCTTCAGCTGGAGCCCGTGGGCAGAGCTGAGCGGTAGCCTTCTGAGATGGAAGCCCCGGCACCTCCCCTCTCTGCATCCTCATCCAGCCTCACCTAGCTGGCGTGAAGCCCCGCCCCCTCCATCCCTTGGGTAGTTCTAAAATAGTCCTCAGGAAGGCAGTGCATCTCTTCCTTCCTTCACCTGTGATGAGCCACAGCAGGTGGCACCACTAAACATTCTGGTTGCTTTATTTCCCTCAGTCAGCTCTCAAAGTAAGAGGGGGCACTAAAAGTTCGTGGAAGAATTAGATTCTCTTTTCATCCCCTTTTCCCCATAAACTTTGGTGAAGCCCCCTCCCTCGTCTATTGGGGAGGAGAGAGATAGAGGTTACCATTTCAGACGTAGAAAATGTTTCCTGGGAAAAAAGAGGATCTGTATGGACTGGGTCAGGGTGCCCTGGTATTCCTTTTAAATGTAGGTTTCCCAATCTGACCCCCACCCTACCCCCCACATTTCTGATTCAAGGCTCAGGTGGTGCCAGGGATTTTTGTTCTTTCAAAGCAATCACCCCGATGATTCTGGTGATCAGACATTTTCAGAGACATGGTGAAAGGCACAAAGTGATGCTGCCCTAAAGACAGCGTCTATAATTAGCACCCGGATAATTAACAGCTGTTTCCTGTTAACATCCCCGAGCAGGTGGGAAGGCTCATCGGTGACTCGGAGCCATGTTCCTCTTTCATCCCCGCTGCAGTGCAGATGGTGACTTTGCCATTGTCAAGTTCACCAAGGTGCTCCTGGACCACACCGGCCACATCACGTGGGTGCCTCCGGCCATCTTTAAAAGCTACTGTGAGATCAGTGTCACCCACTTTCCCTTTGACGAGCAGAACTGCAGCATGAAGCTGGGCACCTGGACCTACGACGGCTCCATGGTGGCCATCAACGCGGTACGTGCTGCTCCCGGGTCGGACCCTGCAAGGTTCTGTCCTTTCAGAAGCACAGGCTCTCGGCACCAGTTAGGATGAGGGCTCTGAGCTGCGGCAGCCCAGCTCAGCTCCCTGCGGAGAACGTGCATTTCCATCCCAGACCCCGAAACCCAAACCAGACTCACTGCCAGGGAGTTGATTCCAACTCAGAGCGAGCCTATAGAGCAGGGTAGAACTGCCCTCCCCTGGGGTATCTGAGACTGTAACTCTTTACGGAGGCAGAAAGCCTCATCTTCTGCCAGGAGAGCGCCTAGTGGTTTCTAACTGCTGGCCTTACGGCAAGCAGCCCCACACAGAACCCACTACGCTACCAGGCCTCCATCCCAGGGATATTGAAGCTGAATTTACAGTGGAGCAAGCGCTCCCAGGCGATGCTCGTGGATTGGGGTACATGGGAATCACCTAACACAGTGTAGCTTCTGATTCAGTAGATCGGGGGTCGGAAAGCACATTTTCAGCAGAGGGTTAAACTGGAAGGAATGAATTCAAAGCCCTGTTTAGAACTTGGGAATCTTTTTCTTTGATGGTTCTTAGTTGATTGCATGGGGTTCTTGATATGCTGCATCTGAGCACCCTCTGGGAGATTATATGAACAGTTTATAATCCAGGGAGAAGCCCAGGGATAGCCAATGAGTTTCATGGGTTTGGGGGCTGAGCAAGCAAAAAAGATAACGACCACCAGGTGGCACTGTTGCAAAATAAACTATTGTCTGGGGCCCCCAGGTTTTGACAGGATTGCTTGCAGAAGTCCCTGTAGCACTGAAATCTTCCAGGGCGCAGGAGGGGAAGAGGAACGCCAAGGGAATTCCAAGGAAAAGATGGGAGCTGAGGAGGGGAGTCATAGGTAGGCAATGTCCCTAGACCTTGTGGGAAGTGTCTGGTCCCGGGAGCTCCGAAGAACGGTGGCAGCTTGGGGTTTACACCTGCGGGGTTTGTCCTGCAGGAGGCTATCAGAGGAGCCTTTGCTGTAGTTGGCACCTTCAACTACTAACGGAAACTGGTGCCGTTCACCCAAAGGTGCCTTGGAAGAAAGGTCTGGCAGTCTACTTTGGAAAAACTAGCCCAGTTTTGCTCTGAGACGCAGGGGTCATCATGAGCTGGCATTGACTTAGGGGCAACTGCCTTTGGTGGCTAGCAGATGTTGGGTGCCATTTGAGGGGTGCTCATTTGGGGTGAGTTGAGAACAGTTGAATGTGTGAAACGTGGAGTCTAGCAAAGGACAGCTTCTGGTTATGAAGAAACTGGCCCGGGGCCAGTACAGGGGGTGGTGGTGGGGGTGTGCTTCAAAGAGTTCCCAGAAAAAGAAAGAAAAAATGGAGTCAGAAGGTGACAGAACGTTTCCACTGACTTTTTGGAGCCCCGCCCTAGTTAGAAGTCATCTGAGCTGGTTTTCCAAGGGTACTGATTTCTCGGTTTAAAAAATCTCTCACATGACTCAAATGTGTTGCCCAAATGGAGGGTACCCATCCTCCAGACCCCCCAGCAGGGTCCCTCCGGGTGTGCGGCAGGCAGATCTGGATCCTGTGGTCCTGTCGGAGGAAGCCCGGCGTGCCCTTCTTAGGGGGCCCTTGGCTGCCTTTTCCGGACCTCCTTCTGCCTCCTCAGGAGAGCGACCAGCCTGACCTGAGCAATTTCATGGAGAGCGGCGAGTGGGTCATCAAGGAGGCCCGGGGCTGGAAGCACTGGGTGTTCTATGCCTGCTGCCCCTCCACCCCCTACCTGGACATCACCTACCACTTCGTCATGCAGCGCCTGCCTCTCTACTTCATCGTCAATGTCATCATTCCCTGTCTGCTCTTCTCCTTCCTGACGGGCCTGGTGTTCTACCTGCCCACGGACTCAGGTGGGTGGAGTTGCTATGACAACCGAGGGCTCCTGTGCTGCTAGTTTGGGGAGCAGCCCAGAACGAATCGTGCGCTGACCGATATACAGGCAGGCAGCTCCCTGGTTTTGATCCCTGGAAAGTAGAGTTTCCCAGGGCCCTGGGCAGAGGCAGATGTCACTGTGACGGGAGCCCACCCTGGGACAGTCAGACAGAGAAGATAGTTGAGCCAGGGCCCTGGTGGCATGGTGGTTATACACGAGGCTTCTAATGGCAAGGTCAGCAGTTCTAAACCACCAGCCGCCCTGGGGGAGAAAGATGAGGTTTTCTATTCTCGTAAAGCGTTCGTGTCTCAGAAACCCACAGAGGCAGTTCTACTCTGCCCTATAGGGTAGCGCTGGGTCAAAATCGACTCTGTGGCTTTTTTTTTTGCAATTAACATGGAGGACACGCTGGGTGGTGCAAATGACTAATGTGCTGGACTTCTCACCAAAAGGTAGGAGAGTATTGAATCCACCTAGAGGCCCCTCAGCAGAAAGGCCCAGCAACTTGTTTCTGAAAAGAAGCAGCCATTGAAAAGCCGATGGAGCACAGTGTTATTCTGACACCGAGGTGTCGTGAGTCTGGGGCCACTGAACAGCCACTGGTTAAGTTAACATGCATCAACCACGAATAACTACGGAGTGGCGGTGGGGGCTTCAGAAAGTTTGTGGAACAATGGAGTTGAAAAAGACCGGAATGTTTCCATGGGCTCTGGGAAGGCTCCTCGTATTGCTGGCCGCCTGCTTTGCTACTGGAAGTGTGGCTCTCGGAAGCGTGGCTCTCGGAAGCGTGGCGGTTGAGTGGCATGATCACAGATGCTCTTCATGCCCCTACCCCGAGCAACTCCCTTCCTAGGCCCTGACCCGCTCCAAACTCTTCTACCGGCTGCCCCTCTCCTGAAAACATCACTGTTCCCTATCTGTTTTCCCACTGGCAGCATCTTTATACATGGAATTCTGACGCACAGGGACCCTCTCCAGGGCTTCGGAGCCTGTCTTTCTTGACGGGAACAGATAGCCTCAACCTCCTCCCACAGAGCTCCTGCTGGCTCTGAACCGCCAGCCTTGCAGTGAGCAGTCCCAGGCTTCCCAGGCCTCCTTTCATCCATGAGACCAAGTCCTCTCCTATCGCTGGACAACTTATAGCTTACCGACCCATCATGCTGTTTCTTATCCTCTTCACACACCGGGAGCCTACAGAAAGGGGCAGTGCGTACTTGCCAGCCACTCACTGCTCACAGACAGTTTCTGGTGGCGGGTGGCAGAGATGGTGCAGACTCTCAAACTCATGACGGGAACGAGTATAACAACATGATCTTTTTTCCCCAAGCCGAAGTCTAACTTCCCAACCAGGAAACTAACAGATCGCTAAGTTACTCTCCTAACAGAGATTTGTTGAGCAGCTAGTACGTGGCCGTGGTAAGATCCCCGTTAGCCAGTGCCTCCCCCACCCACACCCACAGCCAGAACACATACCCTAGAGATTGTGCCCTTTAAACAAATGACCTAGAGGGCAAACAACCTCGATGAACTTTTCAATCAACTTAAACCGCTTGGAGTGAGTCTAGACATCACTATGGGACGGATCGGGCTTGCATGTAATGAAGAGGACTGGTGCTTGCAAAGCGCTCGGGCGCTGGCTGGACTTGGGAGGGCAGAGGCGGCTGTTGAGGAGCTCAGGTGGCACAGCGGTTAGGTGCTCGGCTGCTAACCGAGAGGCTGGGGTTTGAAGCCACGCACCGGCTCCTTGGGGGAAAGCCCTGGGGACCTGCTCCTGGCCGCCAGCCGGCTGTTGGGACGGCAACCTGTGAACCTCTGGGCAATTCCACTGGGTCACACAGGGCAGGGCAGGGCGGCCACATGTCCACATTCACCCGTGTCACTACCGTTAGGAGAAATGTAGCCCGCATCGTATTTTTCCAACTATTGGGTGCTCTCAGCTCTGACCACAATCCATCCATCCGTCCGACCGTCCGTCCGTCCGTCCATCTATCCATCCATCCATCCATCCATCCATCCATCCATCCATCCATCCATCCATCCATTGTGTCAAGCACATTTGTACATACCGTATGTTGCCATCATCATTCTCAAAACATTTGCTTTCTACTTTAGCCCTTGATATCAGCTCATTTCCCCTCCCTCCACCCCCTCATGAACCCTTGATAATTTATTAATTTTTTCTCATGTCTTACACCAACCCCCTGTCTCCCTTCACCCACTATTCTGTTATCCATCCCCCAGGGAGGGGGTTATAAGTAGATCATTGTGATCGGTTCCCCCTTTCTCCCCCACACACATTCCCCTTACTCTCCTGGTATCACTACTCTCATTAGTGGTCCTGAGGGATTATCTGTCCTGTTTCCAGCCTCCTTTGGAAGGCCTTCCTAGTTATCCAGCTAGACAGTAAGGAATGAACTCCCCCTGCCCCCATCTACTCTGAATCCTGAATAGACTCGTGTGTGTGTGTGTGTGTGTGTGTGTGTGTGTGTGTGTGTGTGTGTGTAGTTTGGGTGAAGGTCGACGCAGCAAGTCAGCTTTCCACGCAGCAATCCCTGTACGTGGTGTGCCGCACCATTGATGGCAGCCCCCACCCCCACCAGGTGCCGGCCTTATCCCACTCTCTCCCTGTTTCCTGTAACGTCGCCGCCTGTCTTGGGGGCGCTTTACATGTCTGCTTCAGCCGCATGAGAACCAGGTCCTGGAAGGGCAGGAAGGGACGGTGCACAGTGTTGCCTCTTTCCTGGAAGCCCCAGGAGGCTGAGTGAATGAGCGAGATTGGATCAGAAAGCTCAGAAGGGGCTCTGGCGGGTAGAGAAGGAGGGGTGGTGCATAGGAGAAGAAACACCACCAACACACGACAAGCTGGGCAAATGGTTTCTTAGTTTCGAGGCTGGCACTGATCCTGTGTCTCTGTTCACAAGGTGTGTGTGTGTGTGTGTGTGTGTGTGTGAAGAAACTAGCTGCGCAGCCCCTGGGCTGCTTGCTAAATCCTTTGGAAGCCTCATCTGGGTGATTGTAATGCAACCAATATCCAGGTGAGAGTCCACTTGGAGCTTGGGGACCCTAGAGGTGGCTTTGCCACTAAAGGCTTTGCTGGCATGTCCCAGGGCGGGTGGCTTATGAACTCAGTAAAAACACAGACAGCCAAGGACTGTCTGCGCCCACAGGAGCCAACCGCCCCAAACTCACTGCCCCCGAGTCAATTGTGATTGACAGAGACCCCATACAACAGAGTAGAACTGCCCCTGGGGGTTTATAGGAGTAGAAAGCCTCGTCTTTTTCCTAAGGAGCGGCTGGTGGTTTCAAACTGCTGACCTTGTGGTTAGCAGCCCAACACATGACTTTAAGTCTTAAAAACAAACAAGAAAACACCAACCAAAAAACTTCCCCTTCTTCCTGCTCCCATGGGCACAAAAAGAGAGAAAGTACATTTTTCTTTCTTTTTTTAAAGAATCAAAGTTGGCAACCTGATAGAACAGTGGTTCTCAACCTCCCTAATTCGCGACCCTTTAATACAGTTCCTCATGCTGTGGTGACCCCCCCAACCATAACATTATTTTCATTGCTACTTCATAACTGTCATTTTGCTACTGTAATGAATCGGGCAACCCCTGTGAAAGGGTTGCTCGACCCCCAAAGGGGTCTCGGCCCACAGGTTGAGAACCGCTGTGCTAGAAGCTGGAAGGGGTTGATACATTAACTATTAGTGACTAGTTAAAATGCTCCACCTGCTCAGGAAGCCCCCCTCCTCACCCCCCACCGTGGGCTTTCCAAGAACAGAAACAACCAGAGCGGCCTTGGGGGGCAACTCCCGCCAAAAACACCCCATGTCCTCCAGTCCCTACCTGGTCACACGTCCTCAGCCAACCTGCCCACAGGGAATCGTCCACCCACTGTCTGTAGGGCTGGAAGAAAGGGACAGAGGCAGGTCCACCCATGCCTTCAATAAGCCGGGGCGGGCAGTGCTGGGGGCATCAGGACGTGGGGTCGGGCTGTGTGTGACAGAACAAAACCAAATAGAAGTGGGAAGACAATTTGCCCGTCGATGTGACAAGACTGTGCTGAGGAGCCACTGACAGGCCAGGGAGCATGTCCCCTCCCGGAGTCTGTCCTTCCCCCACACTTGGTCTTGCCACTGCACTCGTCATGAGAAAGTGCTGGATACGTCTGTCTTGATCTAACACACACATAAAATATAAGGACTCCTGGCGGAGCGGGACCACTCGCATTTATAGATGCATTATGTGCAGGGGGGCGGGGGGCACAGTGCATTAAGTGTCCGGCTTACGGTTCAGATTCACGGGAGCTCTTGGGAAGAAAGATGAGCCTTTCTGCTTTGGGAAAGAGTTACAGCCTCAGAAACCTGAAGGAGCAGTCCGACCCTGTCCTCTAGGGCCATGGTGAGTTGGAATGGCTGTAAGTTTGCCTGGGAGTTTGGTCTGGGGGTTACAGATAAGTAACTTCAAAAAGTTTACGGGGAACCAAAAGGGAAAGGGAAGTGAAGGAATCCATTGTGCACAATCTGTGACCCAGCCACAGCAGAGGTAGGACCACCCACCCGACGGCCGGGCAATGAGTAGGTTCTGTGAGGCTTAGCACCTGCTGCCCCAGGTACCACTTATCTACCAGGTCCCCTTTCCCAGGTCCTGGGCTCCAGCAGAAACAGGGTCCTGAGGCATGAGGTGCAGCAGCGTGCGTAGGTGCATGCGTGCGTGGCAGCCTCCCATGGAGCAGCAGAGTTAAGAGGCCAAGGGAATCCCGCAGAGGAATATCCACGCTGCTGGCGCAGTGCTTGGAGGACACAGGCCCCCATCCTCGCGCCCTCGGGTTTCTGAAGGTGGCTCTGTTTCTCCCAGGTGAGAAGATGACGCTGAGCATCTCGGTCCTGCTGTCCCTGACCGTGTTCCTTCTGGTCATTGTGGAGCTGATCCCGTCCACCTCCAGTGCCGTGCCCCTGATTGGGAAATACATGCTGTTCACCATGGTCTTCGTCATCACCTCCATCATCATCACCGTGATCGTCATCAACACCCACCACCGCTCTCCCAGCACCCACGTCATGCCCGAGTGGGTGCGGAAGGTGAGTGAGGCGCTGCAGGCCCGCATGGGGCGGCGCTTCCTCCAGGACCCGTGGCTGCAGGATTTCATCCTAGAAAGCGAGTGCATACCCAGGTTGCATGCCAACCAATTCATGGACTTCACTGCAAGCTGGTCAGGGCAAGGCAAGCCAGCAACAGCTCCCAGCAGTCATTTAACCCCGAGCGCCAGGAGGAACTATTGGAATGACGATGGCAGTCCAATGGACAAAGTCTAAATCTTTCTATGTGGAGCTGTTGCCTTTATGGAGAGGTGTCAGGAGGAAGGCTGACCAGCTGGAGTTGCAGGGCTCCTAGAATTAGCACAGCCCACTCAGAATTCCAGCGGAATGGATCTCTTTGATTAGAGAAGATGACTCATCTATCTCCTTATCCAAATGCCACGCACCCTTGGGATGTCTCTGGGTGTGCCTTCTGTCTGATGCACAGCCTTCTTGCGTATTTATTTTTTGCCAGTAGAATGATCTCTTGAGAACTAGAAAAAGAGCCTTGAGGTGGAAGCTTGCTAGGAGATGGTCCAGAAATGACTGTAGCGAGGAACTTGATCTCACGTGTCTATAGTGTTTATATCATTGAATTTTGAAGCTCTTTAATACATAACATCACACCACATAAAACTTCACAGAGGCCTTAAAGTCAGGGTCTTCTGGGCAGAATGCACACGAGGAGTGGCCAAGATTGAGAAACATGGCTTGGGATGAGGTTCTTGGAGGAGATAAGACCTCCTGCCTCTGTAAGGGCTGCTAGGTAACCAACCCCTTAGCAATACCTCCCATTGCAGCTTCTTCAGCCAAGAGATGGAAGGAAATAAGATGGCTGTTTTACAAAGCCAGAAGTCTATATATTTTGCAAGGGAGGGACTTCTCTTTAACCCAGTGACCTTGCGAACACATTGCTGGGACCCCTCCCAGGGCCTTTGGGGGCTCCCACAGCTCAAGCACCATTGAGTCCAATGGCGGCACACAAGCTCCCTCCTGTGGCCCACGCCCCACATCGCAGATGCCTTGCTGTTGCCGGGCTCCCATGGGGCAAGCACGCAGGATGCGTCTGTAGGGCATCTTTGAGAAAAGCCAGGATTGTCTGCTTCGTTTAGAGGCCAGGCCGCTGAAGCCCAAAGATGTCCCCGAAGAGCCTGGTGGCTGCCCCTCCGGATGCAAACTCTCACACATGCATTTCTTCTTCTTTTTTTTCTCTTCCGTGCTAGGTTTTTATCGACACGATCCCAAACATCATGTTTTTCTCCACAATGAAAAGGCCATCCCGAGAAAAGCAGGACAGGAAGATTTTTACCGAAGACATTGATATCTCTGACATCTCCGGGAAGCCGGGCCCGCCGCCCGTGGGCTTCCCCTCCCCGCTGATCAAACACCCGGAGGTGAAAAGTGCCATCGAGGGTATCAAGTACATCGCCGAGACCATGAAGTCGGACCAGGAGTCCAACAATGTAAGCGGGGGCCCTGAGGTGAAACCCTGCCATGCACAGAGGGAGGGGTGGGCGTGGCCTGAAGGGCAGGTGGACGTTCCCAGTCAGCTACTGTGCTAGTCTGGGAGGACTAGAGAAACACATTCATAGACACTCATATGTGTATAAGAAAGAGCTTTATGTACTAGAGCAATTGTACACTGAGGAAACATCCCAGCCCAGTCCAGATCAAGTCCCTAAATGTGATATTAGCCCATATGTCTGATACCAGTCTATAAATTCCTCTTCAGACTCATGCAACACATGCAATGATGCTGAATGCAGGAAGATCACAGGCCAGTGGGTGGAAAGTCTTGTGGGCCCAGTGGGAGTGGAAGCATCTCAGTGCTGGTGTGGGTCTCCACATGGTTCCTCCAGCTCCAGGGTTCCAGGGTAGCTCCATGTGTCTTGTCATCAGGAATACCAAGCAGAGAGTCTGTGTGTCCCACCTCCAGTGAGCTAGTTACCTCCTTAGCACCTCTGCACGAGGTTATCAAGCTGCGACCCGCTTGACAGGCTAAACTCCACCCCTTTACTCATAAGAGTGTCAAGTTGGCACCAGACTATGTAACTCCCACAGCTACCAACCTAAGACCTGCCCTGATGAGCACTCTACTCAGAAGTCATCACGTTCCGAATAACCTGCTCAAAGAGCCAAGGCCATAAGGGAGCCCCTGGGAAATACACATGGTTCCCACCTTTGGCTGCCAACTTAGCAAAATGCTGGCGGAGTCCACCAAGCGGCCCCCTGGGAGAAAGGCTAACCCCAAGCGGCCAGCCTTAGGACGACTGAGGGCATGTGGGAAAGCCCCGCCCCACACACAAGTCGGACACAACTCACCAGCCACTGGCTTCAGTGCCACTCGGTGGTCATTGAGAAACAAGAGAAGGACCCGCTCGTGATATATGGTCCGAACCCCAACACAAACTCATGGCCTCCGAGTCCGTGCTGACTGGGAGCAACCCTACAGGCCAGAGTAGCATTCCCAGAGCCTGCACATCTCTACAGGGACAGAAAGCCTCCTCTTTGTTCCGCAGCTTGGTTGGTGGCCTCCAACGGCAGTCCTTGTGGTCACCCGTTCAGTGCGTCAGCCATCAGGCCACCAGAGCTCTTGGGCATGAAGAGCTGTTGTGGTTGCTGTTAGGTACCATCGGATTGGCTCTGACTCATAGCACCTCTCTGTAGAACAGCGGGAGAACCATACTCACCTTGCCCAGAGTCTGTCTAACCCGCTCTCCTCTCCCAGGCGGCTGAGGAATGGAAGTATGTTGCCATGGTGATGGACCACATCCTGCTGGGCGTCTTCATGCTGGTCTGCATCATTGGAACTCTGGCTGTGTTTGCCGGGCGGCTCATTGAATTACATCAGCAAGGATGAACAGAGGGCTGGACCAGGCCCCCCTCAGCGCCCCGGGGACAAGCCAGAGCTGGAGAAAGGAAGGGAAAGGAAGAGGGCCCTGCCTGGGGACGCCCTCATGTACCAACCGTTTTGATTGTCTGTGTCCAATACAAACGGCACTGGTTTCCGTGTGCATCCGTGAGGGTCTCGGCAGTTTTCATGCTGCTTCTCCCTTGCATCCCCTGAGCCTTCCTGGAGAGGGCGTCCTTTGCAGTCAGTGGGACTGCTGGTTCCCCAGGGGCATCCGGAAGCTTTCTGCCCAGGGTGGTTACTCGGGACGTGTGGGTGTTTATTTGCGATGGAACCAGTTAGCCTCTGGGAAAGCCCATCCTTAGAGATCAGACGGTTGCTTTAGTGAGACTAGGAAGCAGCAGAGAAGAAGCAGTACATGCAGAAGGGTCACCCGCATCCAGCTGCATCAAAACCCCGGGTTGTTAAGTTTAGTCCTAGCACTGGGGGTGACAGAAGGCGTTCTCAGTCTACACACAACACCTGGGCCTGCGATCGACGGTTTGAAGGAAAACAGATCCCCGCATGTATTGAGGGCAAGGCCCACACCACTCACACCCACCCCCGCACCTCCCCACACCCCCATCCCCACATCTTGTGAAGTCCTTCTTTTGCGAATGAGAAAACTGCATCTTGGGGAGGTTACGTTTTCTTTGCCTGAACTAAGAATTGGATCTCCACCGACCTGGGGCAGCTAAGGCAGAGGAGCAGCTCACCAGCGCTCTGGCCACCTGTGACTCCAGCCGGGCGAGTAGATGACTCTGGTTCCTGTTTTCTAGCGCTGTCGATTGGCTTACGTCTCAGTGGAACTTTCTGCTCCCCCATCCCCAGTCCTTAGGCCAACCATTGTTGGAGCCGCAGTCCTGTGAAGAAGGCGTGCACACCCCATCACCCTACCTACAATGCCGGAGGGGGCGGGACGAATGGCAGCACCACCCTCCACCATGGTCTTGGCCTCCAGCCGCAGCAGGACCAGCGGGCTGTGCTGCATGTAGGCAGCCTGCGTGGTCTAGTGGCTTCCTTCTCCATCTCCGGGGAGTTCCCATCACACTCCATGGCAGGGCGGCGGGACTTCTTCCACATACTGGCGGTCCTCAGGTGACGAACCAGATCTGCTCCAAAGCGTACCCGGCCCCTTGAGCTTGTAGGTAGATCAGACCCAGCACACACAGTTCTCCTTTGCCTGACTTCAGTGCCAGGAGAGATGAAAACTCTCTCCCGTGATTTAAAAGCTGCTCTGCAGCGGTATTAGGGGGTCGTGACGGAGCAGGTGGGGCTGGTTCCAGTGGTTGGTTTCAAAGTCAAGGTCAATATTTGCAACAGCAAGTCCAAGTTGTCTCTCAGATGAGAGCAGCCCTGGAATGATCGAGAATGAACAGTCTCAGTACCTCCACTCCCAATCCACTGTCGTCCCCAGGCTGACTGCCGGTTCAGAGAAGGGCCTTAGAAATGACCCCACGCGTGCCCATTTGGTGGATTAGCAAACTAAGGTCACAGCACGCCAACCCAAACCACACTCCCTGCCACTGAGCCGGTCCTCATGCCCAGTGACCCTGCAGCACAGAACAGAACTGCCCGGGGCTTCCTGAGACTGCACAGTTTTATGGGAGTAGAAAGCCTCATCTTTCTCTGGAGGAGCCGCCGGTGGTTCCAAACAACTGACCTTGCCAAGTTAGCAGCCCAAGGTGGAACCCACTAGGCCACCGGGCAGAGCTGGCGACAAACCAGGTCTCCCAGCTCCCAGTCCAGGGCTGCCTCCATTCCATCCAGCAGCCCATTTCCACCCCACAGCGAAGGCCTCTGTGTTCGTCTCCTCAGACCCCCGTACCCACGAACATCACCCTGGGTGGCTTACGAAACAGCGCTCACAGCGCAGGGGGTCCAAACCCAGGGTGTCCACAGGGCCACCGTCTCACTTTCAGCTGTGCATCTCTTCCAGCTTCCAGCCTGTGACCAGTGGCTGCATCTTATGCAGCCGTCTCTGCCCTCTGTGCATCCCTGTGCCTGCCCCTGCCCTTTAAGGACAGCACCCACAAGGATGAAGAGCCACCCTGCTTTGGTCTGCCCCCACCTCGCCTAAACTGGTGGCGTCCTCAAAGACCCTCTCCAGAAAAGGTCACACCCAAAGGCACTAAAAGAAAAATAGCTCACCACACCCCTGCCCGTGAGTCGCTTCTGACTCATAGTGACGCCACAGGACAGGCTAGACGCGCCCCCCGTGCGTTCCTGGGACTTGAGCTCTTCAGAGGAGTAGAAAACCCCGGCTTTCTCCCGAGAGCATCTGATGGGTTAGAACTTCTGACCTTATGGTTAGCTTCCCAACTCGAAACCGCGGAGCCACCAGAGCTCCTATTAACAGGCACTAGGGGTTCAAAATTCATCATAGCTTATTGGAGGGGTGGGGAACAACTCAATCCATAAAACCCCCCGTCTGTCCCCTGGTCCCAAGTACAGGCCACGTGGGTACTATTTGTATGTAGCGCCATCAGCCCTAAATATCTGTTCCCCAAGCTGTCTCCAAGTCGCAGGGGTTCACCTGTGGCCTCTCTTCCTTTAGTTGGGTCCTGGTTGCCAGGAAGTCCCCGGTGAAAGTGGAGGGGAAGCAGGAACTGGCACCATCCCCCCAGGTTAGCAGGATTGACTGAGGGCCCAGCCCCAGGACAGACAGGAGGACGTGGGGAACTAGGAACATGCCAGGGAGCTGAAATGCAGCACAGGACACTGTGACAAGGTGGCAGACTCAAAAATGAAAGTGGGAATAACTCAGAGCCCAAATCTCTGGGTCTGTTTCTGGTTCACTCCAGGGGTGTCCACGTGAGTTCCTCCTCTGCGCATCTCCGTGGCAACATTCCCATTAGGCGTTTGCGCAGAGAGCACGCAGGGTCCTAGGACACGGAGTGCTGTGAGCACCTGTTACTCCTCTCTAAGGTTGCCTCCTCCGTTTATCACTGGCCCCCCTGCCTAAGCCCTCCAGAACTTCCCCTGCACTGGGCCGTGCTTCCTGCCCTCTGCTGAGCGGCTGGCCTGCAGTTCGGGGCCTAGCGGGTGCTTGAAGGAGCCATGGAGGCGTGGTAGGTACGTGTGGGCCTGCCAAACACAGGGTCGGTCGTTTGAACCCAGCAGCCACTCCTCAGAAGGGGGATGAAGCATTCTCTTCCCCTCAGGGGCCCCACGGGATGCTAGTGATTGTCTATATGGTTGTCTATACAACACCCGCCTGGGGATCTGGTTAAGCTGTCCATTCGGATTTGATAGAAAGTCAAGCTCAGCACGGGTTAGTTTGTTGGTGAGGGCTGTTGGGTCGATCTCCATCTCCCAGTGCACCAACGGCCAGAGCAGAACCTCCCCGTAGCTCTTCCCAGCGCTCTGGGCCTTTCTCCTCAGAGCCACTGGGTGGGTTTGAACGGGCAGCCTTCCGGTGAGCAGCTGAGCCCTGAACCCTTGTGCCTTTAGCCAGGGCTCCTTTAGCCAATGTCTCAGTTACCTGGTGCTGCTGTCACAGAATGCCACAAGGGCATGGCTTTGACAGACAGACGGTGGGAGGCTACACGTCCAGGCTCTGTGCTCTGGCCCATGGGGTGGGCAGGCCTCCTCTCTGTCAGCTCTGGAGGAAGGGCTGGTCGTCGGGGCAGCCTCTTCTTACCCACCTTCACAGTAAGGCCTCGCTCGGTCCTGGCCCTTGCCTGCGCAAGGTGATATCCAGGCACCTGTGTGTGGAGCCCAAGGGCCTTGGGACACCTGCCCAAGTGGGACACCCCCTGAAGGCACCTGGTACTCTCACGCCAACGGTCTGCTGCCGGCCAGCTGACACCAGGCTCCTGGTTGTGCTGCTGCTGTCTGTCTGTCTGCAGCCATTCCTGCCTTCTTGTGCCGTCTCTCTGGCACGAGCTTGTTCTGGCATTACAACTTGTTCTCTCTCTCTCTCTCTCTCGCTCTCGCTCTCGCTCCCCTACTTCTAGGAGGGTCTCAGTGCAGGGACCCTGCATCCTAATGACTTTCTCCATCCCTGTCTTCTCTGCTTGGTTCTCTCTGTTTTCATCTCTTATATAAAAGGTGTGACTCAAGATACCTCTGGCCCTAATCCTGCCTCTTTAATAGAATGGACAGCTCACTCCCAGGACCACAGGCACAGAGGCCAGGATTCATGTCACATTCCTCCCCCAGCCCCGCAAAAAAGAGGATAATTACAGCAGATCACAACATGGAAGGCAACCATCTAATGCTGAGAATCATAGCCTAGACAAGTTGACAAATGCAGTGATAATTCAATTCATAACACCAGCTACCATAAACAAACAAAAACACATGACCCCTAAGTATCAATGTGCCCCATTTTCCTCAAGCGATTTTGTTCCCCTAGATGGGGAGGGGGCACCCTTCAAAAAGTCTGTGGAAAAATGGAATGAAAAGGCAGTGCTCTTTGTCCCCCGACTTTGAATGTAGTTGAGCCCCCGAATCAGAGGGTGTTGTATTGTTTCTAAGGCAACCAGACAAGGTGATGCACCAACGTGGACAACCAGCATCTGCCCGGCCACTGGAACGGCGAAAAGCTGTGGCTTCTTGTCCTGCCCCCAAATCACAGCTAACCAAGGGAGGGAGGAAGATCCAACGAGTGGTTTCTTTCTGTACGATGAAATACCGATTTCTCAACCAAGGTTGAACTTGACTGTAAACAGGGCCAACGTCCTCTCTCTTTAGTTTCTTCCTTTACTCCATCCTCAGTCTCTCTCCCATGGGCTGTGAACTGCTGCCGCCCACATTTACATCATGCCATCTCAATGTTGTCTAGAGCAGTGGTTCTCAACCTTCCTCATGCCATGACCCTCTAATACAGTTCCTCATGTTGTGGTGACCCCCCTAGCCACAAAGTTAGTTTCATTGCTACTTAATAACTGCAATTCTGCTACTGTTATGAATTGAGCGACCCCTGTGAAAAGGTCGTTCGACCCCCAAAGGGGTAGAGACCCACAGGTTGAGAACCACTCACTGGTCTATATTGTCACCTCTACGAGGGCTGGGTTTAGATGATAACGCTGCACATTTTATTTGGAAGACACTATGTCCTTGAAAAAGAGCTCGCAGATTCCGTTTTTGCCATTC